CCTTTTGATTGTGAGCCGCCCTGAGTCCCCCCAGGGAAAAGGGCGGCATACAAATAAATAAACTATAAACTATGTTCCATACCATACTATTCCAAAGACTGTTACAACTAAAATGTCAATGCAACTAAAGAAAGATGTATTTGTGATGTCTGAATAGCACTGTCAAGCTTAAGAAATTTGGATTTTGTGCATCAACTTCTATACATCTGACTTTCCAAGAAAAAAACTGAGTTGTACAACATTTTCTGAGTTTCCTCCAATTTAAATCAGTGCACCAAGGCATGCATTACTTGCATCAATCATAAGACAGAAAGGAAATCCTTCACTCAGACATTAGTTAATAGATTTGAGAACACCGCTAAGAAGATCTAACTGTACCTTTAGTTTTATACAATTTGTTGCTTTTCTATTGTGAGCTCCTGATACCACTTACGGTGCTTTAATTCACATTTTTATTTTCCTAACACAAACATTTGTTTCCACATGCTTACCCTTTGATTCACCATAGTATAACCTCAACAGTACAAATGAAAACTTTTAAGTCACTTCTGATCGAAACATGTGAAAAAGCTGTTAATAAAACACTGACCTGATTAATGGAATTAGCTGCACACGATGACAGGCCTGTTCCAAGGGTGACCAATAGGAAGCAGCTTAAGTCAAATGGCACGGGTGCAAGCGCAAATCCAGCTGAAGCCGTACCTACAACCAGGACTGAAATATAAACAAACAATGCAGCACTAATAAACGAACAGAAGATAATTTATACTTTTGCATTCATTACACGTCAGTTACATTATTAATAAGGTAGTAATGGACAATAATGATGGACAACAGTGCTACATTTGTGGAACAGCAATAATCCTGCCTCTTGCCTTAACAGAATGTAGGAAAAACAGGGCAAATTCTGTTTAATGGTTCCAATATTTTCAAACAAGTAGCATTGTTACAAAAGAATGACATAAGACGGGGAGAATACTGAGAAACATAACTGAACTTTAAAATTTGACAATACACAATAATGAATATTTGTTAAGCACAATTTATAATTTATTGACTATTGCTGAAATTAGGCCTATGCTTCTTTCTTCTGTTTCCTTTAATTATTTCAATTCTGTTACGTTAACCAGAAGGTTTTGAAGGTTAATAGAGAACATGTTCTGATTAAAAAAATGAATATGAAATTTCTAATAGATGTACTAGATTATATTAGCCATAACATTTTAGACTTGCTGGCCAGTAGAGGTATTTTACTGTTCGTAAATTTTTAATCTATGTTGTTTTTATATCCTTTTAAAATTGTTCATTTTTGTGTTTATTCTTTTATTTTGTCATAGTATTTTTTTAAAATAAAAAGTAAAGATATTCCCACAGAAATGTGTTCCCCTTGCGTAATTGTACACCTTATGTGAATTAGTAATCTCCTCTATGGAATAAAACTCTGGAGAATATAGGTACAATCTTAATTTGTCCTTCTAGATTTATAACCATTAAAAATAGTATAGGTAGTGCTCAACTTACAAAAGTTTGTTTAGTGACTGTTCAAAGTTACAACGGCAGTGAAAAAAGTGACTTATGACGTTTTTTCATAGTCCTTTTCAGCATCCCAACAATCATGTGATCAAAATTCTGTTGCTTGGTAACTGGTTCATATTTATGACCTTTGATGTGTCCCAGGATCATGTGATCACCTTTTGCAACCTTCTGACAAGCAAAGTCAATGGGGAACAACCAGGGTTACTGACTTATCAACTGCAGTGATTCATTTAACAACTGGTGCAAGGAAAGTGATAAAATGGGCAAAACCGACTTAAAAAATTGTCTGTTAACAACAGAAATCTTGGGCTCAATTGTAGTTATAAATCAGGGACTAACTGTACTGACAGTTATTTGCTGACTCTCTGTAAACCGCTTAGAGAGGGCTGAAAGCCCTATGAAGCGGTATATAAGTCTACTGCTATTGCTATTTGTCCACATTTTATCTGTATTTATTCATCCACATTTAAAAGCCACTTCACTTTGTAGCTACTCTTGATTGCTTATGAACAAAAAGAACAAGACAGAAATAGGTGGTAGCAACTAAAAATGGCATACGTTGTTGACTTCCTATTTGGTTTTTATCAAGTTTTGCTACGTGTACCAGGTTTCCATTAATAAGGCATATATTTTATTTTACACTGCGACTAGAAGTTTAATTAAAACTTATCAGAGAGACTGCTTTAAACTTACGTATAATAGCAAGATACTAGCTGATTTATAAATAGTGAAATGTGAAGCAGTTTGTGTAACATTATTTTAATGCCCCCAAAGAATTCTAGCACACTAGAGGCAGTGTTCTAATTAAAGTCTTCATTGATTTCTCCAAATTAATTTCATTATAACTTATCAGAATCTCATTAAAGCAGCTGTAATACATTCTACTTCATCCAATTGGCTGGCTATTGTTGTAAGCTGGCTCAGACTTTATATCCATAAACAATGTTCTTAGTGTTAAGTACATCATCTCAGTCTTTGATAAAGCAAATAAATATGTGTTTACGTTTAAGGCCGACTCCTATAAAGTATTCTTATGTTAAACTTCCTACAGCTTCTTGAAGGGTATAGTTGCCACAGGACATGGTGAACTAACCCAAGATAAGATAGTGTTACTGAACACAAGCGTTCCACATATATATTTATTAATTATAACGTCTGCATACCATACACTCCATCAGTATTCCTGAAGATTTATATACCGTGTTTCCCCGAAAATATGACCTGTTCTGAATCTAACGCCTTGCCACATTTTTCGTGTGGGCAAAAATAAAAGCTCACCCCCAAAATAAGCCCCCTGGACAACCCACCCCCCTCCGTTCAGGCAGAACGCCACTTATCGACCTAGTGGTATCCCAAAGGCGCCAAGCCGCGGGAGCCGGGGGGGGGAAAGGGGCTCACGTTGCTTGCCACCTTTGGGATACCACTAGGTTGGGGAGTGGCATTCTGCCTGGCCGGAGGGGGGAGTTGCCGGGCACTGCTCCCTTGCGCGCGGCCTTCCGAAGAGCTGGGCACAGCCTCAGGGGTGAAGCAGCCATGAGATGACAACTCACGAGCAGCCGCCTGGCAAACCCCCTCTACAGCTGGGCAGAGTGCCATTCACTGACATAGGGGGTATCCCTAAGGCACCAAGGCATGTGGCGCTCTGCCCGCCCCCCAGCTCCCGCGGCTTGGCACATTAGGGATATCCCTAGGTCAGTGCATGGAGCTCTGCCTGGCTGGAGAAGAGGGTTGCATGAGTGCCTGTTCCGCTCCCAGCAAGCATGCCTCCCAGTCTCATCATGCCCTGGCCGAACTCTCCCCACAGAGCCAGGGCGCTGCCGCCGCACTCCAAACATAACTTCTTCTCCGGCTTTCAAACTCCAAAACTCGGCTGACGAGTCTTCCAGCAGTGGCCGCTCTAGGAGTACACTGTATGGTTGTGGGCCGGCTGCTGGAAGCTTCTCTGTACGGAAGCCTCTTTGTCTGGAAGACTCTCTGTCCGGAAAGTATATTCAAGAAGCATTGTTTCCTCAACTCTTCTTCCCTGAATCTCAAGTCTTAAGCTTCCTAATAGGGAATAATATTCTATTCCGAGTAGGAAATTTTCCAAGTAATTAGGAATTGAGGCACATAGTGCTCCAGAGGTGACAACTTACAATCTGAATTGCATTTGGAAACTGAATGGCAATCAGTAAAGTATCTCAACATTGGTATTATATATAAAATCCCAGAGGCTTTCACTCACCAGAAGATGGGCTTCTGCATTATGTACTAACTACAGTTTCCTATCAGTCACTCCCTAAAGGCAGGCCCACGTAAAATATAATTCACCAGTCCTTGCTAGAGCTGATAAATTTATGGGTGATTGTTATCAGGACCTCCAAACAGAACTATAACTGACACACCAGCTAAAATTATGGAAACATCCCCTACCCGGCCTTCCACTTGTGTATCTAGTAATAATTATGGATCTAGGATGACTCCTCAGTCACAAAGGTGTTCCTTAAAGAACACTGTTGTCTGGCACTGTTATTTTATTCACAGTAATAACCTCAGCCTAACAATAATTGGATCAAGTTTTAAAAATAGTACCCCTATTTATAAGGGTTTAATTTCAGTTTGTTCTTTCCTGCATACAGCATAAGAAATGGCCTTGAATGACAGGTGGAAGAGTCACTACCAAGGTAATGGTCAGTACAACAGGGCTGGGGCCAAGGGCAAGGAATTAGTTTTGGAAATGCCTCAGGCAAGCCCTTCCCTATGAGGGAAGCGAGAAGCACATTCAGCCTTGTAAGATTTTGTTCCTATAGTTGTTACAGTAATAGTCCTGAGTTATATGGCATTGGATTTTTAGTCTGGCCTACTTGTACTTCACAGCCCCAGATATTGGATCAAAACTTCCACAGGATCCCCACTATGGCCTGGGTAATGATGTAAACCTGAATATTACCATTTCATCCTATCCAGCTGATTGACATCCCCCAAAGGTTTCATATGGCTAAAAAGTAAGAGTAAAAGGCATGAATCAAAATAGGAGCCTGGATTGCTAAAACATATGAAGAACAGTTGTGAGAACTGAGCATGGCTAGTCTAGTGAAGAGAAGGACCAGTGGAGACATGATAGCAGTGTTCCAATGTTTGAAGAGCTGTCACAGAGACTTGACTTACTTTGACTTAAGTCTTTGTCACAGAGAGGAGCGGAACTGAAGTGGGCCGATGAAGAACGAGGCAGGAGGCTCCTGAGGTAAAGTTAACAGCACTTTATTTCAATAGAACTGAACAGTAGACTAGCTAGTGGTAGATTGGGACTCCGCCCTGCTTGACAGCTATTTATATGGAGCTGTCAAGCAGGGAGGCCAATAGGCATGCGTCTGACAGCCCACGCTCAGCTAGCCACGCCTTAGCCAATCAGGCGCGGCCTGGCTATTTCTGGCTGTCAGTTGTAGGCGCGAGGACTAAACACTTCTTCCCCCCTAGCAAGGGCGCATGCGGAAACGTGGCGCATGCGTACTCACGAAGATAGGCGGATGGCGGTGGACACACCCCGAACGCCTCAGTTCAGGAGGCATCACTGGAGAAGTAAGACGTCCATGTAGCAGCTCCTCCCCGGAAGGAGTGGAGCTCCAGGTGACATCACGAAGGCCTAGTCTGGAGGGCGGAATCCCAGGAAGAGGTAGGCCGGGCAGCGGGGGCGCGGTCTGAACAGGGGAGGTAATACAAACTTGCTGGTATGTGGCGAAAGGATTGGGGAGGCCTGGCGGTGGAAGGCCTATGTCGGGCGAACTGGGAAATGCGAGGTCGGTTTGAGGAGGTGCATGAGGTTGCCGGGAAACGGTAACTGGGCAGGAGAGGCCTGACCTGGGTAAGGCCTCATGTGGAACGGAGGCTGCAAGCGGCGGCGGGCCTGAGACTGGCTGCTGGGCAACACTGCGGGTCGGATTAAGTCGAGGCCTCTGGAGGGTGGTGGTGCCTTAGTTGGTCCACATGGCGCCGCCACTCAGTGCCATCTGGTAGGTGGACCCTGTAGGAACAGGGACCAGTTATTTCGGTAACGGTGGCAGGCACCCACCGAGGATCCCCAGAGTAGCTTCTGGCCCAGACCAAGTCCCCCACCCTGAAGCGGGAAGGGGCCCCCAGGTTGCCAGGCTGATCCCCTGAATAGATAGGGTGCAATCTATCCAGGGTAGTCCACAGGCGCC